ACTTGATAATGTATATTACATGCTTTAATACTGCAAATGCAATCAGGATTAATAATAATAAAGCATTGATCCTTGTCACCATTTGAAGAACTCCTCGACTCCTTCTTTACGGTGATAATTGATGGCTGTTGGCTTACCGATTCAGCCTCTTTCGACGAAGATAGCAAATAATCATGACCCTGACCATACATAATGGTTGATAATGTACAACTTGATAATGACCGATCTCGGCAATCTAGTTTCTGCTGGTCATTAGAGATTGACTCAGATTGACTCACTTTGAGATCTTTTTGACGGGTGATCGTTCGGCGTTCAGATAGCGGCCAGAGTTTGGAGCTGATTTGAAAGGACTCGTGAACGGACTTTTAATTGGTGCTTTCCGCTTGGCCGACGGTGAATCAACTGGAGTAACACAAAGTTTCTCCCTTAAAGACACACAATTGTTATGATTAACTATCTGAATTAATGCATTGATCAATATCACTTCAGCTCATGAACTCATAAACACTGGACACGTGAATGATCTCAATTATAAATTACGTGAATTCATGTTACGCTTGATTCATTCTGTGGCGATTTTCCTCAACCAATAATTCAATTGCAGTACACAAATGCAGATGGTGCGATTGAATGGAATGAGATAAAAATACACGCTGCTCTAAATAAATAAATAAAGATAACGCACATTTGACTGGCAGTGCCCTGAGAATGTGGAAGTGAATAGTATTCGATTTGTTCGAAGCCATTCGTTTTCATCAAAGATTTCGATCGTTTCTCAACCAACGAACGATCGAATTGCCAAAGACGACAAATCGAATCGTCGATTGATGCAATATACCGTGATCCACAGCTGAACTGTGCCACTGATACCTGAATTATCGATGATAAATTTCATACGAATGAGATGATGAGTCTTTAAATTCTAACTTGACGAAATTTAGAAAACAAAACGATATTCTATTCTAAAAACATCAAAAACCAAACGTTACATGATATTACGGAGCAGAAACGCATTCCAAATGAAACCATTTTGGTAAAGGCGAAACATTCAGCATGCAAAATTAACGCCGCAATTCAGAAACGAACCTCTGAGGTGTGTCCACCCAATACAAATTTTGGATACGGATAGTAGTCGGTGGAAATACTGGTGTTCACATTGCGAGAGTTGTTGCGATACTTCTTCTCCTAGAACATTATAAAAAAGACTACGATTGTACACACTCTTTGTGGATATCTTGGAAAATGAAACTCAAATTCACTTCAAAAATAAAATAAAGAATTGAAAAAAATAATAAAATACAAATACTAAATAAAACAGAATAATAAAAGTAATAAAATAAAATGGAAAAAAAATTAAGATAAAATAAAACATAAATAAATTTGGATATAAAATAAGGACAACAATTTTAACGAGGAATAAGATAACAAAAGAAATAAAACCTTCAAAAAATAATAAATAAAGAAAATCAAGTTATGTAAAAAAAATTAAGAGAAGAAAGTTAGTTTGAATAAAAAATACAAAATAAAATAAGATTAAAAATAATTTCAAATACATAAACGGATGGCATGTAGATGGGATCTGAGCGTTTTAGTTAAAAGCAACTAGGCGGTAAGCAACAGTTGATCGACTAGAACTGAACCTGTAAATCCCAGAGCAAAGCGTACTGCTCTCCACTCCCATAAGATAAGTGATCTGATACTGGCGATGCGCAAAGTTTCATATCAAATGCACAAACTGATGATCGCTTGACGCCACGCAAGACATCCACTGAAATTTTCATCAGTTCGACAAGCTCAACTTCGATTTCAAAATTATCATAAATTGACGTCAGAAATTCTTAACGAATACGTCAAGAATGAAAACAATCGAAAAACAGAACAGCAACAACGACAAAATAATCCAAAAACCATCCAACAATATTATCAGAAACACGAATAACAACGATAATATTGTTAAAACAATAATGATGATTTAGAAACCAGGAGTATTCTTCGTAGAGTTCACTGAATATTCCCAAACGAACGAAT